AACTTGGGTGGATGGGAAGCCGCTGGTGGGCAGGGCCATGACTTCTGACCTTATTCCAGGCACTGCCTTTGGACCTGGAGAAAACACCTTCTCCCTCAGCCCTGGATGCCATCTTGGGCCAGAGCTAACTTGTATCCTAGGTCTATGTTCTCCCTCCTGTGTGACCTACATCTGGCCTATTGGAGATACTTCAAAGTCAAGAGTAGGATAATGCATAATAAACTTTCTCCTGACAAACTCTGGGAGCATGGGCTTTCCAAACTCAGAGCCTCTCTCCAGAGCTGTGGCTGGGGCCAGTCTCTCACCCTTCAGATTTCTTCAGGTGTGGGTATGACCTTAGTCCTCTGTGCCCAGCAGGATGCAGGCTGTAGGGGATGCTTCCTCTCTCTGTCTCTCTCTCTCACACTCTCTCTCTCCCTCCCTATTCTAGTTCCTGCGCAGAATGTTAATCCTGAAACACTCCAGACTTAGAAGAGACCACATGGCGTAGCAGTTAGACCCAAACACTCTGGGTTCAAAATCCAGATCTGGGTTTTAATTCCAGCTCAGCCGTGTCCTAGCCGTGTGAGCCAGGGCAGGCTGCTCCAACCACTCTGTGCATCAGTTTCCTCATCTGCACAACAGGGATAAAATCAGAGGCCACCTCAGAGGATTTTTAGGAAGATTAAATGAGATAAAATTTATAAAGTGCTTAGAACAATTCCTGAGACACTTTAGGCATCACACAAGTATTTGTTAAATAAATATCAGGCGAAAAATGTGTTTAATAGTAAATAACAAAGATCAGTTCATGGCAACTTTACCCGGCACTCTTTAATTTCAGGAGTCCTGGGTTCTTCCATTCTAGTCAATTTTGGATGACGTCCAAGCAGAACCTTCCTACAGCCACATCCCCCTGAGACATAACTGATGTCACAGCACGTTCTGCAGGTCTCATTAGACACTATAAAGTACCCAGTCCTGCTTTATTCCAAGTGCTCGGAATGCTAACAAGCATGAGTCTAGGAAGGGTGACTCAGGGCATTTGAAGGGATGAGCCCGGCAAGAGTTCCCAGACACAACTTTTCAGAAAAGGTTTCTGGGAAATGCAAAACTGGGGGTGGGCACTGAGGGTGCATTTCACAACGCTCTGCCAGCCATGCAGCCTGGCTTCCCCAAATCTCGTTTGGCTCTGTTCCTTACTGTCGATGCAGGAATAGGATATCCTCATGGATTAGGGACATTCTGAGTATCTTGAGACAATTAATTATCCTACTCATGACATGCCTGAGGGGCTAACACTGAAACACTGAGATTATGCAACTCAGCCAGTCACGTAGCAGGGGTGAGGCCGAGCTGGGTCAGATCTACGGATTCCAGATTTGTGTTTAATCTGATGAGATCCATCACCATGCTGCTGTCCCAGCATGGACTTTGTTTAGTCACAGAAGCTGATAACATGATTTCAGAAATGTGTGGCCAGGGAATCCTGGGTCATCTGGTAAAAACGACATTACCAGGAAATTAAAACCCTCAACTTCTGGAGAGTTGTGTGTCAGGCTCAAGTAGGGAAAAAAATAAAAACAGAAAAACAAGTCAGGACCAGAAATCAACTGTGTATATAAATAAAAGGAAAATTGTTTTACTATGGGAAGTATGGATACAGGATAAAGGTATTGCTACTTCACTGATACCTTCTAGAACTTGCTAAGCTTGGTGCAGCCTCCAATATTTAAGACAGCACGAATTCAGAAGAAACAATTTGTAATTGCATATTTGTGTTTATGTTGGAGGAACTGGCCATCTAGGAATGCACTTGAAAAAACAGTTCTATGAAGACTCAAATGAAGTTGGAGAAATGCCCATCTTTTATTTTCTATTCCTTCCCAGTTTGCTGGTACCCACTGAGTGGGACAAAAGGTGGTGGAAAGAGAATGGGGTCTGGAATTGTACAGACCTAGGTTCAAATCCTCACTCTGCTACTCACAGCATGACCTTCAGCAGTTTGCTTAGCCTCTCTGACCTTCAGTTTCTTTATCTACAGTTATAAACTGACCTCGTAAGATTGAAGTAAGCAAAGCTTCTACCAAATGCCTGGTACATAACAGACACTCAGTTAGGTCTGGACTACAGCATATCTTAGACTTTCTTAAAATGTCAGTTCAAGATGGATTTTCCAAAAGCATGACATTGACGTCGAATAGGCAGATACTTTAACAGAACCTAATACCAAGCTCAGAAATAGATGTGCCCATATGCGGTTAATTGACTTTGCAAAGATTCCAAGATCATTCAGTGGGACAGGGCGATCTTTTCAACGAATGGTGCTGGAACCATTGGACGTCCACATGCCAACAAATAAATGAACCTCGACCCATGCCTTGCACTGTATACAGAAATAACTTGGAATGCGTGAGTTCAAGCTATACGATTTCTAGGAGAAAAATAGGACAAAACCTTCGTGACCTTGGGTTAGACAAAAAAGCACAAACCACACAATTTTTGATAAATTGAACTTTATCAGAAACACTTGTTCTTCAATAGACACTGTTAAGAAAATGAAAATGAAAGTCACAGACTAGGAGAAAATATTTGTAAAGTGCGTTTATTTCTTTAGCATTGCTGTCTCCTGAAACGTGGCGCAGGACAGACGTAATGAATAATTCTTGTGTGCTGTCATCCTCTCCCTCATAAAATGCATTTCTAGATACTTTTCTTCCCTCCCTCACTATTATGCTCCTGCCCACGGCCACACTTCTCGTAATACTGTTGCGAGGGAGGGCTGGAGAGAAGGTCAAGCTCTGTGTTGTGACATTGCAAGACCCACACGGTCAATTCCATTCTTGGAAAAAGAGAAAAGAACAACAGTGAAAAATCTGGAGACAGGCACATACCCATCAGAGAGCAACCTGAGTCCTTGGTAGCAACAGGACACTCTCAACAATGACAACGAAAAGCATAGACGGAACATGCACATGGCCCTACGTGCTGTGCTTGCATCATCTCATGTAGCTGCGGAGGAAACATCCCTGCAGAGAGTCAACGCAGAGCCCCAGAGGAAGCAGGGTCCCCGTGAAGGCACCAGCAGTTTCATTCTGCACACCTGCAATGAACTTTGTTCTTCCTGGGCCTCTGAGTGCTTTGTCCTTGGGACTTTATTTCGGACTCAGACACGGCATGTCTTGGTTTTACTGTCTTGGGACGGTTGACTCAGTTTTGGAGATTTATCTTGTTTGAAAATTCAGCTTCTGTTTGGCTTCCTGACACCAAGCTTTGTACTTCCTTGCTTCTTAATTCTGGTAACCCCTCCCCCCTGCTCTCTGCTTCCTCTAGGCTTCCATTTGCAGTGTTTGACCATCCCTGGGTGACTATGAATCTCATATGTCCCTAGGTGCGTAATTAACAGTAGTGGAATTAATAATCAACAGGTATCATGCTCATAGGTCTCTCTTTTCTGGTGTCCTTGACAAACCACTGTATGTACAGTGAAGATGGAAGTCTTCAGATACTTAAGGCGAATACAGATCGGAAAGCTCGTGTCTACCTTTGCCAAGATAGCTATGGAGTTTTTTAAGTATTAATATAACTAGGAGGACGTCTTTACTGGAGAGCAAAGTTCACCAATAGATGGATGGGCTTGGTGTTGGATTATCAGCAGTTGATATCTCCGAGTTAGCTGGGGACCTATGGTTGAGCCCTGCCCAAACCATAAGGCAAGGGGACCAGTGGGGACCGCGGCAGGAAGCGCTCATCACGCCACTCTTTGCACAGATATCATGAAAGAATTCGGGCCAGGTGCTATCCCAGGCGGGTCCGTGGAGCAGCACTGGAAGTCCCAGTGCCTGGGCTACATATGCTCCAGGTGGGGCCGAGGGCCAATGCCATGCTTCCACGTAGCTTCAGTCTAACGACAGCCGAACCATGAGAGATGCTTTCTCTGGAGCTGATTCCCCAAGATAGTCTGACTGCAGTTCATGGGCCACAGACAACGGGGGGGCAGAGCAACCCTCCCAGCTTGTTTCAATGTAGCATGAGAGCCTCTCAGAATAAACATCCCCGGCAGCAGACGGACTGACATCAAAGACCTCAGTCCCCTTCCGATTCTGATCACAGCTACTCCACACAGGGCTACATCGGTTTTCAAAGCTTGAACTCTGCTCAGCTGCTCAGCAGAAGGATCCCTGGTCGCCCTGTGACCTGGCAGATGGGCACAGAGATGTGTGAATGGTCTCTGTGTGACACTTGGAAGAGCAGCTGTGTCCGCAGGGCTGAGTGAGACCTGCCACGGTGTCTTGCACAGCAACCGTTTTCACTTCACGAAGACCATTGAAAAGAATCTAAAAGATACACACACACGCACACACACACATATTTATAAAAATAGATTAATGAGCTTGATGCAGAAGATAGGTAGAAGCTCTCTGTGTTTTTAAAGTGCTAACCTGCAGCAGTCAGCCTTAAAATCTCAGCACGATTAAGCTGACAGGTCACATGGTTTATGTAATTCTATGTGTCGAAGCCCCCCCAGGAAGAGCCACTTCACACACCAGGAAAGAGTCAGTGAAGATGTAAAAAAACCTGTGTAGTGCTGGAGGGACGGAGACTGAAGCCCTGGTTTCTCGACAGGAAATCCCGCACTTGCCTCCCCCCGTCTTTTAGCCAGATCATGGTCTTTGTCTCTGAAAACCCGCAGAGGCATCTGGTTATCCCCCAAGAGGGAGATGAACCGTGAACGCGTTTCCAGCGAGAGTGGACTTGGGCAGGGGGGCAGCTGGAACCAGGCACGTTCTTTGCTCCCTGCTGACGCACTCTGAGGGCCACCTGAGCACTTTGGCTCGGCGCTGGGAGCCAGGAGCTGGCGCTCGGTTCCCAGCCTCTCTGCTCACAGCTGCACAGTTCAGTGAGTGGAGCTGCAGTGGTTTGAGTGCACGGTTCACTCTGCCACGACCAGCCTCTGTTGTAAATTTTCCTCCCAGAACACGTGACGATGCATTTCTTGACTATATATCCCAAGGGCAGCAGCCGAGTTGTCAGAGCGCTGAGCCCCGCGCGGAGGAGGAAGGCTCTGGACGTGGCCAGTGAGGACTCGGGACTGGGGACGACTCTGCCTGCCGGCGGTAAGTTAGCGGCGCTGCTCGGCTCCAGAAAACTTTGCAAGCAATTTCTAGCAATTAGTAGGTGAAGTTTTCCTTTTTCCTTCTTGTTCCAAGGAAACTTTGTTTTGAATTAAACATAGTTCTAAGTTGCAGAAGCAAAATGTAAACTTTCTCTTTTCTGCTCAGTCAGTTAAGAAAAGTTTCCCAGCGATTACAGTATTTATTTTCTCTATGCTCCCTTGTCTTATATTGATCCCCCCCCCTTCGGTTTTTAAAATGGTAAAAGCAATGCTTTTTACATGCCCACTCTATGAATTACAAATAGGATTGACACGTATAGGCTGAAAAATGAAAGTCTTTCTTGTATCCCCCACCCCTCCCTGCCCGCTCCGCCACGCACGCCAACCCTAGTTGCTGCTTGGCGCTGGGGGACCTCTTATTACTGCTTTTCCTTCATGCATTGTAAGCCGTTTGGATATTGCAATCCCACACGCCTCTGCTTGCCGTGCTCTGTACCACGGACCCAGGAGAGTTCTAACCTGCAGGCTTCTCCGCAGACCCTGGCCGTTGAGCAGCTTCAATGCTGGAGATGGAGCTTCTGAACAGCACGCACGCCAGCACCGCGTCCCCCAGCACCCCCCTCGAGTCCCATGTCCCCAGCAGCGGCAGCGGCAACGGGAACGAATACTTCTACATTCTGGTGGTCATGTCCTTCTACGGTATTTTTTTGATTGGAATCATGCTGGGCTACATGAAATCCAAGAGGCGGGAGAAGAAGGCCAACCTCCTGCTGCTGTACAAAGATGAGGAGAGGCTGTGGGGAGAGGCCATGAAGCCCCTGCCCATGGTGTCGGGCCTGAGGTCGGTGCAGGTGCCCGTGATGCTGAACATGCTGCAGGAGAGCGTGGCGCCTGCACTGTCCTGCACCCTCTGCTCCATGGAAGGGGACAGCATGAGCTCCGAGTCCTCCTCGCCCGACGTGCACCTCACCATCCAGGAGGAGGGGGCTGATGATGAGCTGGGGGAGACTTCGGAGACGCCCCTGAACGAAAGCAGCGAGGGGTCCTTGGAGAATATCCATCAGAATTCCTAGCACCCCCAGGGCCTCTGGAGGTGGCCCCATCAGCCGGCACCTTAGAGAGAGGAAAGACACTTTTCGTGTCTGGTTTCACTTTGCAGTGCAGCTGCCACTTTGAAGAGACCCTGGGCAAGCCCCTGCTGAGGGGGGACGGTGGGGGCCCTGCTCAGCCACAGCCAGCAGTAGCCAGGAGTCCGCGCAGTGCCTGTGGTGTGAACCCGCCCGCCAGTATCAAAGCTCTGAAGATGTGCAGTGTATACATTTACTTGGGGCCTGGGGCTCTGGGTTCCTGCTCAGAATTTGGCAGGTCGATGGGCTTGCTCTGGTTTTCTCACTGGATGCCCCGGGTCACTCCTGCAGCCTCTGCCCACTGCCGGGGCTGCCAAATGCCCAGGACATGCTGGGAGACTAGTTTTGATTTGCTAATTTGCCTACAGCTTTGTTCTTCTAGATCTGATTGGCTGTAAGTACCTCTGTGGTGTACCTGTGGCATTCGTTCGCCGGTTACAGTGCTTCTGGTCTTTTGGGTCGGGAGGGGGACATTTAATGGAGGACTTTCCATGGGAGGAAGCTGGAGATTCGAACCTGGCCCGTTTGCATATTGTAAGGGGGGGAAATGCAACCTTTAAACTTGTTCACATTGGCTGGGATTGTAAAACATGACCCCTCCTCTAACCTATGACCTTGAACTCTGACCTGGGACCATCCAGCGTTTCATGCTGGCATGAATTTTTTTTCGGTTGGAAGGGCTTCTCCAGGATCTAACCTGCACTCCTAATGTCCTGATGGCCATGCAGGGGACTCCTCCTGATAGTTCCAGAAGGGTACTGGTGGGTTGAACAAAGTCTACTGCTGCTCATTTCCCAGCGTAGTGTTCTGAGCTGGGAAAGGACATAATGCGGGCCTCTGTGACCCGGCCTTCCGTCACGTAGCTGAGACCTAGAAGGGTACACTCAGGCAGAAACCGCGCAGAGCTGGGGTCTAAGCTCTGTTTCCTGCTCCCGAAACCCTGACACGGATTTGCTGTGTGGTCCTGGGCATGTCATCAAGAGGCTTCCCGCCTCCATGAGACTGCTGGTGATCTACTTCCCCAGGGGGCTGGGAGGATGTCTTTAGATTTTGAGGCTCTGTGATAAATCCTGCATGGCCTGGTGTGAGGAAGCTTGGACAAACTATTTCCCCCTTGGCCGGTTCATCTGAAAAAAGATCTGCTTATTTAAAGGAGCAGGCGGAGACCAGGAACGCACGGCAGCGGGTAGCTCAGGGCAAACCACCAGCTCATCCCGGCTGCCGTTTTCTCCAGCAGTGAACCAGAGGGGCAGGCACCACATTTCCTCTGCGAAGTTCTCTGGGTGCTGGAATGTTAACCCTCCAGCCAAGGAAACGGGAAACCCCAAGAAAACGCTCAGGAACGCTGCCGTGGGCCCCGTGTTTCTGGGGTCTGGTAGCTCTGCGGCAGGCCCTCTAGGCCTTGAACACAGGAGGAAGAGAAACACACCAAAAGGTCAAATTTAATTCTAGTAAAAACAAAAACTTAAAAAAAAAATACTCTCCCTGGATCGGAGACAGCGATAACTACTGTTCCCACGGAAGGGTTAACAGTGTAGGAGCTGGTTTATCAGCTCGCCTTAACACAGTGTTAGAGGAAATTTATGTTTGGGGGTAAAAAGGGGCCTCTGTTCACTTTAAAATCCAGAGTGTGGATTTACTCCAAAGGGGGCTGTTTAAGGTGAAAGAAGCCAAGTTAGGTTGGCCCCTTGCCTGGAATCACTTGAATTCTGAAACTTGACTGCGACAGACATGTGCGTGGTCACATTTTCCATTGCTTCATCCTGAAGTTCGGTGCAAATCTAGCTGCGCCTGTTAAAAAGCGATGTATATACTTCCTTCTTATTCTATTAAGTTGTATAAAATTGTCCTCTGTATTTAACAGTGTGTCATTTTCACGGTATTTTTTAATTTAAATAAACAAACACATTTCCCTGAGGAAGTTCTGAGTTCTTTCTTTGATTCTGCAATAGAATTCTTAGTTTCTAAGCCACCCCAAGGCACACTCTCCCAGCCATCTCTGGATTTATTTTCCAAGTTAGACTCCCACGAAGACATGTTTTATTCCCGCCTGGATCGTGGACTGAACCAGGGCTGGGACATGCTTTGCAATGAATGAAAAACAAGTTGCAGATAGTCTGACATCAGTTTCTCTTTTTAAATGTGGTGGCTGTGGGGGCCTTTGAACTTGAATGTGTGGCTGCTACAAAGATATTGCTCCAAATATGGTTGCAAGGACACATTTGCTTTGCATGTTGGCTTGGTAGATATTGTCCACACATGGCCACAGCAGCACCGACAAACGGGCAGGGACTTGCAGTATACACAGCAACACAAACTTAGGCAAATACTGAAGCTGTGCTCGGGATGGCCCTCCTCCTTTTTTTCCCAGGCACCTCTGCAGGAAGAATGATTTTCTAAGCGCTTCCCACCTGGTCCGGCTGGCTTTATTAGTTTATTTACACAGTCAGAGGTGCTGGAGAAAAATGACCTGAGCCAGTGACCCATTTTGAATCAAGCAGATGATACAGAACATCTTCACTTTTATGTTTCTCTGTGTCCTGTGAATTTGGCTTTTCTGTTTCAAGTAAATATTTCCAGTAGGTACACAAATAACTGTCTCCCTGAAGGATTTATCTGGTGAAAGTATAGGGGAGCCTGGATCCTTCCCCAAACACATCAGGGATCTTCATCCATCAATTGGTACTTTGACAATGTAAGATGAGAAGATTAATTTAAAAGACAAGAAAGCCCTTCAATGTACCCCAGTTTAGTGTCATTCTGGGTAAGGAAATAGTTAAGGAAAACATTTTTACCATGGGCGGAAGAAGAGAGAATTCTAAACTCTAATTGTCCTAAAAATATGCAGAGTACACTATGTCGTTTTAATGGAATATTTGTTTTCTTAAAAAAACACACAAAAAAACCAACAACTTCTAAGCAGAACCTAAGGCCCAAGGGGTTTAATCTGTGTGGATTTACTCATGCATGTGAAAAACAGAAAAGGGAATTTGGCTCCATGCACCTAGGATATTAGAAACATATTTTAAAGCATTTAAATGTTAGGGATGAGGTAAATGAATCATCCATGCTGTTCTAATTACACCTTTGTACGTCAAAGTCAGGCAGGGATGTTGTAGAGAAAACTCAGGGACGGAATCATGGGATCTAAACTACCGGGAAAGGCTGAAGTTGGGCCAAGAAATGAGTGCTTTTGGCTGGTGACTGGTTGGAGAGCAGACCATGGTACATTTGAGAGCTGCCACTGGAGGGTTCTGTGCTTCAGCACGAACTTCCAGGCCTCAGCCACAAAGGGTCATTTATCATCCTTTGAAACGCTGCTCTGATACTAACGTTGTGGAACAGACGGAACATTGAGCTTACAATGCAATGGATACTCCAGGTTTAGACAGAGCGTTGGTTCAGTTGCCTTACCTCAGATCTGGGCACTCTGCTGGAGAAAATCACATGGAGTATCATGGGTCCAGGGTCAGAAGGTGGCCTCTAGGGCTGGAGGGAGACATATCAGCCTACTGAAGAGGAGAGTGGGCCAGGCAGGTGCTGGTCCTCAGGAAGGCAGGGTGTAAATGGGGTTTAGTAGAGGCTCAGCCTTGTTATGTCTAGCTTTCTAGACTAACTCTGCTATTGTGTTGCTCTGTAGCTCTTTCAAAATGAGAGGACATGCTGGCCTCCCTCTCCAGGGACCTGTTAATGAAAAGAATGGTGAAACGCAGAGAGATACTGAGCTCTGCTTGAACCTAAAGGAAAGGCAGCTTCAGGCTTCTACTTTGTAAAATGTGTCCTGGGCATCCGCTTGCAAATAAAGTCCCTGACACCTCCTCTTCTGTGGACAGTTTCCTCAGGAGACTATGATGTTTAGGAAAAGGACATGATTTGCCAAAGGAGAAGGGTCATAAGAGAGAAAAACCACTGCTCACTTCTGCTTTTCCCCATTTCTGAAATGTTTCCTCCCACACAGGAAGGAACAGTTTTGGATGTGAGCTGTTACCATGGAGATAACCAACCAAGGTCACTAGTTTGAAGGAGCCCATGGCCCCATAGCACTGGATTAGAGCAGCTTTGTGAAGTTGGGATTTGGTCTTTGACTCAGGTGATGAGCTTTGAGCCCATGGCAGCCTCCACCCATGACAAGGAGGAGGAACTCAGGGAATTCTTCTTTTGTCTTGGACAACCCCGTGTTTCTTCTCCTCGCCTCTTCCCTGTCCCATATAACACAGGGCCAAGCTGTTGTTCTCTCTGTTCTAGGAATTTATTTTCTTACCTTTCACTTTGTTGCTAAGAAACACAATCAAAGAATTCTTCACATCAAAAACTATACTCTTCCCCTGTCCTGAGTGATTTTCCACCCCTTGTTCAAAGACAATGAATGGCATGTTCTCTCTTGTTTTAGTTCTGGCTGCTATAGCAAAGTACCATAGACTGGGTGACTTATAAGCAGCAGAAATTTATCTTTCACAGTGACGGAGTCTGTAAGTCTGAGATCAGGATTCCAGCATGGTTGGGTTCTGGGGAGGACCCACCTGCAGTTTGTAGACAGCTGTCTTCTTACCGTATCCTCACCTGGCAGAAAGAGCAAACTAGCTCTTGGGCTTCTTTTTACAGGAGCACTAATCCCACCTTCATGACCTGATTACCTTCCAAAGGCCCATTTTCAAATATCATCACATTGGGAATTAGATTTCAACATATGAATTTTGCAAAGACACATATATTCAGTCCATAATATCTCTTTTCCCAATATCTCTCCCATGTTTTCTCTCCAACTTTCTTCTTTACCACAAAAAGAACAAAAATAGCAGTAACCACAAGCATAATACTTATGGCATGCCAAGCACATACTACATCCAATCATTACAACACTGCTTTGAGCTTCTACTCTCTTCTAGGCACTTCTAGGTGCTGGGAAAAATATAACACCTGTCCAACTCCAAAGAGGTCATAGTCTTCATATAAACAAACTCCAATAAAAATCACTCTATATAATTTATAATATTTTTTGAGTATTTCTATGTGCAAGGTCCTCTGGCTCCAGAAGGATGTAAGAATTATGTGGTCTTTGAACAGTTGAGGACACCATGATGTGATTAGTCAAACAAAATATATTGTTTACCTAATATTTGCTTTGCTCTGTGATAGGTGCTTTCTCTTGGATTATTTATTCGATTATCCCAAGGAAACTCTAAGCTAGGTCTCTAATAC